CATCAGCATCATCGGATTGAGCATCTTCATTAGAAGCACACGAAGTCTCCTTCTTCGGCGCTGCAGCACAAAGCCGGAGCAGCAAAAGCAAGCTCACCACCATGAACAGGCGAGCACCGCGAACACGAGCCATGGCACACTGCTGAAGGCTCAGCCGAACTTTCGCAAGACAGCGTCGATTCGGCTTCAGCACAGGGTGAGCAACTTCGCCCGCTAGCAAAGAGCAAGCTTGAGAAAAACCAAATGCTGCAACAAGTCTTCCATATGCCGATCGGAGTTTGTCACCCATTCAATCGCGAGCCACAACTGCTGATATGAACAGACATCAGAAGCTACCAACTCGCACAGCATGAAAGCTCGACGTGAGGCAAGTAACTTCAGTGTCTCACAACATATAAAATGTTCGACGTGAGAAAACAAAGTTCTTTGGCAGTTTTGCGTCGCTGTGTTAGCGACTATAATTCAAAGACAACATGATCACATTCGTGAAATAGTCGTCTTCGTGATTTACAAAACTGCGTACCTGTAAAAGGGAGGATGTATGCGGAATATGTCCCGCAGAGTATTCGCAATATGTGAGACGAGAAAAACTTGCAATCAAAATGATCTTCAAAATTATTCGCAAGAATATGTACTTCAATCTCGGAGTAGTGCAAACACTCGGACTGCCCTCTTTTTTTGCACGAGCAACGGAACAGGGGGTAATCCAAAAGCATGCAAACCGCCTACGTCCGTGGTAGCAACGCCCTCGCACAACGAGACACAGCTCAAGGGCACCACAGGACCCGTTTGCCCCCCTTGCAGACGTCCGAAGCTCACGAGAAGTGAAAAGCAGGAACGGGGCCCTTGAAGTGGCACGCTAGGAGGCTCCAAGGCAGAGCGCTGACATCCGAGCACCGCTGAGCAGCAATCTTCACGATGCTGTCAATGTTGATGACACGCCCTCCTACCATCTTGGCTGCAGCTGCACACTCGCCACGGCTGGGGAGGTCTTTTTTTCATTCACACGCTTTAGTCGAGTCGACTATTCAGCGGGCGCTACGTACCCGTATTTTCGATTGAATACGGGAACGGCCTATTCAGGCACGCCGGACTACTACGAAGCCGCTTCCCAGGGCGGCAGGCCGACTATTGCGGCCATGAAAAGAAAGCTAAGTACCACGTCCTACTGATCTCCTGTAAGTCAGTAGAGTTAGCTACGACAGTCGGGGTGTCATCATTCTGTACATGGAGGGCCGGATGGGCGGCATCCTCGGCTAGGCTCCTTTGGAGCTCACTGTAGAAAGCAGCAGTCGGCTCCTCCGTGGGGGCCGTTACGCCCATGGAGCGATAGTGACCTGAGTCCGGAGTGCATCCAATGTGATACACTACCGAGCTGAGCACGTAGGTGCAGGGCTCTGTGTGAACACCATCGGTGAATGTGGGCACCTGTAAACGTGGTGAGAGGCTGATTCTGTGTTGCAGTTTGTCGATGTCTCCCCTGAGGTCCCCACTGAATCGCATAAGTTGTATGCTCAGGATTGGTGGGGGTCTGACAAGGGCTGTGACCTCTCCTGTGTCTTGCTCATAGGTCCAATCCTCCACGAGCTGCTGCAGGGTTTTGTTTGGTGTGCAAGGTAAAGTGATGAGCGGCACAGGGCTCATCCGTTGATGAGCATGGATTTGGGGCCCTTCCATTGATCGGGCTTCCCATGAGCCATGTATGCCTGGCAGGCGTGCGTGATCCGTCATGAACTTGAGGAATTCCGCTACGTCATGCTGCTGAGTTAATCTAGGCCAAGTCCTAAGTATGTCAAGCCATGCCTTCCTCCGATAGAGCTGGACCGCTCCTGTCGACGTAAGGAGGGGTCTCAGAAGTGGATGGAGATCGCCAAAATGTAAGTTGCGCTCTGAGGCCCGAGCATGGTATATCCACATGAGTGCCTGAACGAGCGAGTTAAGATAGCACAGATTGTGGGGATTGGCTAGAACGAGCGACGGTGGCATGTCAAGAGCCATAGGAGCGACTCGTGATCGAATGTTTGCAGCACTCGATGATGCAGCTTCCGATGTCCCCGGTTGCTCAAGCCATTGCTTGAGCGTCCCCTTTGTCCCTGTGTTAGGGGTATCCCCGTGCTGATGCTTCAGCTTCCCCTTTTGGGGGCCGGACTTCGGCTTCCCCGGATGGCCTTCTGCCTTGTGGCCTCTTCTGTCAATGCGTTGTAGGTCCTCCGGTAACACACCAGTTGGTAGTGCCTCAAACTGTTTCAGTCTCCCTCTGCTGAAAATAGTTTGCCTGGGGGCCGGTATGGGCTCCCCTTCCTTTTTGGCTTCTGTTGGGGCCGGTGTCGGCTTCCCATTTGTGAATGGCTTCTTCACTGGGCTGCCTTCAGAAGCTGCAGGAGCTCCTTTGGGAGCGGCCTGTGACTGCGTTCCGGACGCAGTCGGACCCCTACGAGGCGCAGCACCGAGTTTTCGGTCAGGATGCTCAAAGCTTCCCTGATCTTCATTTTGTCCGGGGCTTCCTGAGATACTGTCAGTTTTAGCAGGGTGACCTTGTTCTGCTCCGATTTCTCCTCCGGAAGGCCCCCCATTGCGTGGAAGGCATGCATTGTGCCCTCCTTGACCATTACTGGCTTGAGTTCCTGTATGAGGGTCAGGGCCCGATCGTGTGCCAGGGGCTCCCTGTCTGTCGGTGTGTGGGTGTGCTTCTCCGCGTCCCACTTGGTGTACGACCACTTGAGGGGGCTGGCTGCCAGCAGACCCGCCGTGATCAATTTGGACTGTGCGTCCTTGTCCGTGGTCAGCTTGGCTTCCAATTCCATCAGTAAGGCACCCATGAGGGCCTGACGAAGACCGCAGTCGCACTTCCCTTGTGCACGACTTTTTCTCCAGGTGTGGGTCGTCTGGATCAGTTGCTGCGTTATCCCCAGGTCGCCGTTGTCCATGAACATAATCCAGGAGCGATCGGCTTCCAGTTGCTGCAGGGCCGTTTCGTGGCGGGCCATAATCTTCGCAAGGGCCAATATCTGCGCGCTCGGGGGCGGCCGAGCTCGGGCACGCTTTTGATCCGATCTTCCTCCTCCCTTGCCGTTCAGCCGTTGTGCCTTGGCTCTGGGTGTGGTCATGAGTTCCTCGTCGTCGAAGGGGTCCTCGCCCATGTCCATCTTCTCCATTGGGGAGTTGAACCCCCACACCGCTGCGATCTGGGCAAGGGCATGGTTCTCCGCCATGGCACTGCAGGACTCTCAGTTGGAGGAGTGGGAGGCACCTACCAGCATGAACCTTGGGAGTTTTTGTATAGGTGTCTCTGCAGAACTTGCAAGGTCTGGAGAGGTGAGTGGCTTTGATCTCGGCAGTGACACGGTCCTGAAGCTGAGGAGCGCACCAGATGTCTTTGTGGGACTTGGCCATGTGCCGTCTCCAGTCCTGCTGATTCGTTACAGAGGTAGCACAAAGACAACAGTGGCGCTCAAGGAATTGCATCAGTGGCCTGTCGGCGTCCCCAAGGGGGGCCGTGGTGTCCTGAAGCAGGCTACGGACTTTCGCTGTAGTGAATTGCTGTGGTGAAACGGTGGATTGTGTGGAGGTCTCCGGCTTGCCAGCCTGGTACCAGGCTGTTGCAAGTGCAACCTGAAAGATGACTACGCAACTGCGAACATGCCTGTCGGCAGAGTAGACCTTATGCTGACACAGTTCACAGTCATGATCCCTGTGGATGAGATCTCTATATTCCTCACATTTACTGATGAAGTGCTCAAGACCAGCGTCCCATATTTCCGGGTGCATTCGCTTGATGTGCTCTTTGACGGATCCCTGCTTCGCAATCCATTGCCCACAGAAGCCGCAATGTGTGTGAAGAAGCGGGGCCCACTCTGTCAGGCGGTGCAGGGGAACAGGGGGTCGCATGAGAAGGGTCTCCGCCTCTGGCATCCGCAGGATGGGAAGGTCAGCTGGGTTGTCTGGCTCCGGACGATCAATTACAGGGTCCCTAGCGAGGCCTTCTTGAGTTTGGTGGTAGAGCACCGTGTCTTGTGTGTTGGGAAGCTCGCCGGAGTGCCTGGGTGTAGGGGCCGGCGACGGCTCCCTATCAGGCTCCCTCGAGCCTTCCCGCAGACTGTCGGGGGTGGGCTTGTCTCTGCAAGCATAGGTGAGTATGTGTTGTTTAAACGCTCCCCAAGATTGAAGTTTTTTGTTGCAGTGTCTGCACTGTGGCATACCTTGAATGCAGTGCTCATGTTGCTTATAATTCCGCTCCTCCTCCGCATCAACGGCGACTTTTTGCTTGTGTTTTTGAGCAAGGTGCTGACGCAGTGTCTTTGTTGACGGAAAGTAGAGGCCGCATTCCGGGCAGGGCAGACCATTAGTGGTGGGTTTGACAGGAATCAGAGCCTGAGAAGGCAGAGCAGTGGTGGTGACTTGCTGAAACTCTTTGGCGGTGTCTTGCCAGTACTGGATGATCTCCGGCGTGTTCGTGATGTCAGCTGGTTTGTGTTGCAGTTTTTCAATTTTTCTTTGAATGGCGTGATGAAGGGAATCAAGGGGGTCGCTTATGTGAAATTTGGCACAGAGAGCCGAGTTGCTTTCGTGAGTCAGGTGTGCCGGGGAGTTAACCACCGCCCGTAGTTGCCTATAGAACCAGTTGCGAAGGCGGGTGGCTGCTGCATAGGTCATACCTACCGGAAGTAGGCCGTACGTCGCACTGGAGACAGCGCAAGCAGTCCAGATGCGTAGGCGGTGAGAAAGGCTAAAGACCTTGCGGGCACGGGTGGATCTATGAAGTTTGGCCTCTCTGCCTTTGGCTTCATTGATGCGGTGACGGGTGTTGGGAAGGGCACAGTCGCCCAGTTCAAGGTGGGTTCCTAGGTAGACTACAGATTTAGCCAAGGGAATGTGCGCGGGGCCGGTTTCGGTCTCCACCTGCCAGTGCTGTTTGCCTTCTTTGCGAACAATGTACTGCTTGAGTGCCCGCTTGGCTCCGGGGCCCCTAATTTTTAGGAGCAGTGACGTCTTGGTAAGATTCACATGGAGTCCAAGCTCAGCCATGACTTTGAGCACCTGTGCAAGAAGAGCCGCCAGTTGATGGACGTCACTTTCCTGTTCGATGAGCCATTGGCATAAAGTATCATCGGCAAATGTTGTTCCCTGCCGCTTGGGGCCCGACAGGGCTCCCCGGAGTTCATGTAGAATTGTTGTTGATATAGCCACCCAGAGGAGGGGCGCTATGCGACATCCCTGACGGATACCGCGAGTAGTATCAACCGACGTTTCGTAGAAGTCGTCTTGGAGGTGGTACGACGACGTATCATGTAGTGCTATCACCGCAGCTATCAGGTCGTCCGGGGCACCCAGTCTCCTGAGAGAGGAGGCCAGTGCCGTCCGCTCAACTCTGTCGAAGGCCTGTTTTAGGTCCAGACTTAGGATTGCCCCTCCTACGCAGAGATTCTTCTGGGTATCGTCCTCTTCGCGTGCTTTAAGAGCAAATCGACCTGTACCAGCTCTGTTGAGGGTACTTCTAAAGAGATTCATCCAAGAGTGAACCCTGGCCAATGCATCGAAGATGTCTCTGTTGGGCTGGTAAGCATACTGCGGCACCCACTGCAACTGGGGCCGTATGACGGCGTAAAGCCGCTCCTTGATGAGGGCCGCCAGAACTGTAGCCTCGGGGCTCATCAATCCTATGGGCCTGAGGGCCGAAGGATGTGACGGCGCCTTCCCTGGCTTCGGCAAGCAGATGATCCAAGCATCAGTCCACCGGGGGGGGAGAGTGACATTAGCTTGGGCATAAGTCTCCATCGTAAATCGTAGCAGGGGAGCAAGGGAGGTGGCCCCCACTTTCCACGCAGCAGTCGGTGCAACCCCTGGGGGGACCGCTTTGCCTACACTAGTTATTCGAAGTTGGCCGTAGACCTCCTCCAGTGTGAAGATGAGGGGGAGTATGACACCCTCTCTACGGGGCTGTTCTTGTGGAGGAGCGAAGAGGCCCCTGCTGTAGCTGACCAGTGAGTCGTGCTCTTGCTTTTGGGTGAGCAGCGTGCCTTGATCATCCTTGAGCATTACCCTATTCCGAGGGGCCCATGGTGCGAGCTGCTTGACGACTTGGTATACCTTCCTTTGGTCTCCACTTGTGGCTGCTGCTTCAGCTTGGCCTAAGAGGTCAAGCGTGGCCTGTCGCTTGTCAGCATAGCATTGTTTTTGTGCCTTCTTGGCTGCCATGCGATAGCGAACCGTAGCCTTCCAGGCCGCAAAGATTCTACCCTGTCGATTGACTTGTACGGGTGAATAACGGGCAGCTCTACGGAGTTGCCAAAGGTGGAGGATGTGGGGATTAGATTTAAGCGGGGACTTAGCAGCCGGGGGGAAAACATGACAGCAGGCCTGCATGATAGCCTGGTTGAGGTGAGGGGAGTCCTGTGGGAGGAGCTCAACCCTTGTCTTGATTTCAAGTTCCAGTGCCCTGGCCTGTTCCGTACCCTTGCGAACGGCTTCATCAAGCTCTTTTTTATTGTATGCCGGTTGTGCCGGACGACGGGTGGGAAGCAGGTAATGGTTCATGATGCGGATATCAGTAGCAAGGCTGTAATGGCCTATGTGAAGGCGCCACGTGCCAATTGGCGGTTTCGCCACTTTCACGAATTTTGCTCGCGGATCCGCAGTGACCGTGCGTGTCATGATGTAATCTATTTGGCTCGTACCCACCTGGTTTTGGGGAGCCTGATTGAACTGGGTAGGCTTGGCAGCGCCATGCCAGGTGTTGAGGGCAACGAGCCCATTTGATTCCATGAACATCCCCAGTGCGTCCGGGTCGAGGGCCTCCGGGCCTACATGGAATGGGGTGTTGCATGTGGAGCGTCCTACAAAGGGGGGGGAGGGTCTAACTTCCGCCTGGAAGTCCCCTGCCACAATGAGTGTTGCTCGAAGGGGGATGCCCGTGAGTGAGCGGGCGACCTTATTCAGAAAAGCGTGTCTCCTCTCCCTCAGGGAGTCCGGAGAACAAGTGTAGTTGCGGGGGTGCTGATAGCAATTATAAATTTCAATGCGGCCTTGCTCGGCTTGAATCTGAACTCTAAGCGCTCGCCCCGGGACAATTTCTTCATGTCTCACCACGTGTTTGTTGTGTCTCGGGTGGACAAGTGTGAGAACTCCGTCAGCTCGGGCCTTCGTGCCTGAGTGGATTGCTCGCCACCCCTGTACTACAAAATCTGAGGTCGTGGACCAATGAGTTTCTTGGAGACAGATAACATCGGACTGCGCCGTTGCCAAGTACTCCTTTAACTCCTGCCAGAGCAAGGTCGAGAGGGAGCCTACGTTAAGAGACAGGACGCTGAGTCTCTCAACATAGCGTTGGCCGGCTCGGTTGCCTCTGGTGGTCCGGGTTTCAGTGGCATGTCGCCCCGTTTGACGAAGGACGACATCAGCTATTTGAGGGGCCGTGATGCGGCGCCCTTTGTACCAGGTGAATCCCTGGGTTTGCGCGCGTTGTTTGGCTCTCCTGATTGCTCGTTTGGATCCAGGAAGACGGGCTACATCGTTATCTCCTCTGATTGTAACAGCCTGTGCAGTAGGGAGCAGCAGAAGAAGGAGGATTACGTAGCCTAAAAGTCCCGGTTTCGGATGACCAAGGGGGCCTCTTGGGGCCATCCCTGTAGCGTGGCTGGGGATCTTCCTGATCAACCCGATACCACTGATGTGTAGACTGTCCGGTTGTGGTGTCTTGTTGCCCTCTTTCGTAGTAATCCGGTGTTTGGACGCGCCGCCCACCACCTTCCCACCATGGGAAGAGCACGTTTTCAGAACGTGATGTGGTCTTCCCTCTGTGGGGGGCCCAGAGGGAACCCTCACCTCCCTCTCCCCTTTTTGAGTGCCCTGGTGTGACTGGGCCTGGGGAGATTGTGCCGTTTGCTCAGTAGCCGGAGTCCATACCCAAGGCAGCAGAGAGCAAGCGCACCCTGCAGTGATATTGTGATTGACAAGTGCGACCCGCCTCGTATCTGTCGCCTTCTTTCAGGGCTCTGGAGTGAGAGACCTGTCGGAGTGCAGGCGGGCTCCATGTGCTGCTGACAAAGCCAGAACCGTAGCATCTGTGGCTCTCTTGACAGTACTTGGAATAAATCGAGTCTTGTTTTGGCCTCCGCACACAAGCGCATTCGTGGTGATGCCTGAAGCAGCCGGCGCATCTGAGACCTGATCTGACCAGCATCTTGGCCGCTGCAAAGGGGTGGTTTGTCCTTGTCGGCGCCCCCTCACGGGGGGCCGTATGCATGTAGAGACCAACGTCGTCTTCCATTCGGTAATCCGAGGGAAGCTCCATGGGGAGCGTAGCCTGATCTGGTTCGGGACGGAGATTTGTCACCCTCGAACCTGCGCTAGGTTGCCCAAAGTGCTGAGCGTTCGCACTGCTAGAGGGCATTCTCGGTCCAGAATGACTGGAGACAGCGAGGTCGTGATGCATATCGTCCTCTGTGGGGGCAGTGCGACCCGTCGGATCGTCCCGCCTTCGGTGTTTCCCACAATCATCTGGTTTTCGACTCTGCTGAACCTCGCTTTGGGGCCGGTTGGTCGGCTGCTCCAATTTGGGGGATCGGGTGACCCTCGCCATAATATCGTGTATTGGAGTTCCTGGATAAACTGGTTGGTACGGCGGGTCCTGTGGGGGACCGGCCTCGGTCTCCCTAGGAGGGGTCCATTCCAGAATGTCGTCACAATCACTATCCACATCCGGAAATTCCTGTTGTAGGGTCTCCCAAAACTCTGAGTCAGAAGACATGGTGCGGCGCCCGATGTTCGCTGAGGGGGGCCCTGGTGACTGTTTGGGCACTGTCCCCTTGTGATCCATTGCAGAGAGGAATAGCAGCCATGCATGAGGCACACCAGATCTGAGGCATGACGAAGACATATGCAGTCCAGCCTTCGCCAGGAGGTTGATGGTGAGAGTCTTGTCTAGGTCCTGCCAGGTGGGGTGAGGCAAAGGCACAAGCAAAGCAAAGCAGCACCGTAGTGTCGCTACGATTAGTAAAAAGCAGCATATATGCACGCACTTGCTCAGAGTTCGAATTGTCCGGGGCCATTTGCTGGCCTGCCTTTCCTAGATGTGGCCGTAGGTAGGCCTGTAGCACCACAGATGGGAGTGGAGGGGAGTCATCTGTTGACTCTACCCTTTCCCCGCTCTCACGAATTGTCACGGCCTGAATGAACTTTGGGGCGATGGGGTCAGACGTGAGATAGTACCCGTTCTGGGAGCGGTAGTACACGCTTTCTGTGGCCGAACTCGGCGTCACATGCAGCACAATGTCAGTGCGAGTGGGAAAGTACTTCTCGCTGCCCTTCTCATCGGGTAAAAGGTGAAGTTGCTGTCGCCAGGAGCTTCCTCCACCCCCGCCGGGGTGGAGACCTTCATTGTAGATCTTCTTGTAGAATTCATAGTGGGTGGCGTGGAGTAGGTAGGGGACCTCCTTGGGGTCGACCCGATCATGCACTGCCTCCGGGTCCACTTCACGGCTGTGGCCCTGTACCGCTCCCGCAACAATGCGGGAGACGCCATTCTCGCGGGCATACAAGATGCGAAACCGCTGTTTTTTGTTCCAGTAGATCACTGCCAATTCCTCTATCGTCGCCCCTACTTGGGCGAATATATCCAACCTGGTGATTGACTCCAACGATGCCGTAGCATTCTTGTGGAAGGTCAAGCCGAACTCGCCCTTGTCGTGCCGTAAGACTTTACTCAACCGCTTCGACAGTGTCTCGTCTCTTTTGTGGCTGAGCCTTGTCGGCGGGAATGCGAAGGAGTACGGGGTGAAGGTGGGGGCCTGCTCCAGGCTGCCCGACGGCTCGGTCAGTGTGCTGTGGGCCGGTCCTGTTTCGGGGGCCGGTGTTTCCGGCACCTCCTCATAGATGCCAAGGGCTTCCAGGCTTGCGGGGTCGTACTCATCCTTGACATAGCCCTGTCGGGTGTCGTCCTGATCCGCACCCGCTCTGCCCCAGTACTGATCCTCCTCTTCTTCTTCGTCTTCCTCGTCGTCATCTTCATAGTAGTAGTCATCGCCGTTGTTCTGATGATCGACGTTCTGTGCAGGGGTCGAATGTATCACTTCCCTGTCCTGATGCGAGGAGGATGACGGGACCTCTTGTTGGTGCCAGGCACCCGGATAGAAGTGCCGTAGGAGCCGATCCACCTCCGGTTCCGTAATCTTCCAACCCATGATGTCATGCATCTGGCTGGGGATCTCACTTAAGAGATCGACCCATGTGTCCATGGATTCCACGATCCAGGTATACATGGCTCTGAATTCGGGGTCCTCTTCAGCATGGACTGTCCCGACCCAGCCCTCGATGGCTGCTCCGTAGGTCCCCTCTTTTGAGGTCTCCTGGGTCCCGTAGAGCTCTCCACAGAGCAAGTGGGCAAAGCTTGCCCAGTTCCAGTTCCCATAAGAAGGTAATTTCACTTCTTTGTGAAAAGAGTCGTGCTTTTTTCCGTAGTGGCCTCGGCCGAAGAAGGATTCCATGTGTTCCGTAGCCCCGTTCTGTCTCAGCTTCCTGAGATTGTCCCGAAGTAGCTGCCAGCGCTCCTCTTGTTTGGCTACTTGAGCCTTTCTGGGGCGGGCCACGCGGCAAGGTGGCGGGAAGGCTGCTCTCCGTAGCTGGGGGCCGGTCGTCGGCCTCCCACCGTTGACCTCGTTTCGGGGGACTGCGAGGAGGGGTCGGTGGACGTCCCTGTGTTCTGGTCTCGCGGCGCTCGACCGTGCGATGGGGAGCATCATCTTGTGTCTCCCTCTGCCGATCAACCCTCCTTCGGGGAGCTTCTTCTCGAGTATCCCGTTGCTGCTCAACCCTGCGAGGGGGAGCATCTTCTCTGTCAGCTCGTGGGCGATCATCCCGTCGTCTCTCAGGGCGTCGATCCGCATTGTGGGAGCGCCAATCCTCCCACTTCCGTGAGTAATCAATCCATCCACCTCCATCCCAGTTGTCAGCCTGGGTTCGGGTACGGCCGCCTGCGGGCCGACGATCATCCTGATCCCAGTCTCTGTCACGACTGCGATCTTGATCTGGTTCTGCTCGCCGTTCGGTCCGCCTATCCTGCTGGCGCTGGTCTTGCTGGCGAGTAGAAGGCTGGTACTGGGGCCGACGTTCCGGCTGCTCCCCACGTCCTTTACCACGATCTGCAGCTTTGCCTCGTCCTTTTCCAGGTCCCCCTTTCGGGGCAGGGTCCTTCCCTTTTCCTTTGCCCTTTTGTTGTCGAGCTAGGAGTTCGCCCGATGATCTTCTGCGGGTTCCATCCGGACGGTACCTGGATCGCGGGTAGCGTTGTGGCCTCTCTTCTTCTTCGGGCTCCTGGTCGTCCCGGGCGTCATCATCCCGGTCGTCCCGGTCGTCGCGCTGTTGGCGATAGCCTCCTCTCCCTGCTGGCGGCATGGTGCTTGAGTCGGCAGCACTTCTGCGGACAGGAATGCTATGGGTAGTGGTGCAACTGGCGACCATGCACTGACTTGGGCTGCTGGGCTTACCTACTGCTGCAACTGACGGACGATTCGGGGTCCTGCGCTTCCGAGGGTCAGGATCCGGAGGATGCAAAGGACCTGAAGGCCGCAGGGTAGCTACTTCCCTGGTAGTGTGTAGGGTGTTAACTCGGCTGCTGGCATTTGGGCTGTGCTGATCGCAATAAAGAATAAGCTCAAGGTCGACCATCACTAGCACAGCACTGAAGCACGAAGGAAACAAAGCATGTAGGTCGCGGCTAGATGAGCCGGTGGATGGCCCGATATGCCAAGGCATCTGACCTGACTGCTCCTTAGTACTGTTGGTGCTGCTGGCCTCCCGTACCTTAGTAGGGGCCGATTCCGGTCGCCCTTGGGGGTGGCGGCTTGCCACATCCCTGCTACCTGACAGATTAATCCAAGCTGTGCAGGTCCAGTACCTGCAGTCCCTGACGGGTTGATTGTTGAATCCACTTCTGGTGTGATTTTTGGGGCCGCTGCATTGGCATGCTCAGCGAGAAGATCACGCTGTTGCCTGGCTGTGCCTGAAGTAGGTGCGGTGTTCTCAAAGGCCCGGGCCAGCTTTGGTGGCACCGCGGTTCCTCGAGACTGAACGCTGCCTGCAGTGTGATAATAACAAGAAGGCATCTTATTATGTGTCGAAAACATGCTGATGTTCGCACTCTCTGATGACGGAGAGCGGGCTGCTGCGCTCGATCCTGCGATTGCAAAGCTACGGCTCCCTTCCGGGGCCGGTTCCTTCCTGCGTTGTTTCTTCTGCGGCGGTTGCAAAGTTGCTGCTGAAAATTCGCTCTCTCCCACCTCATAAACGGCAGGTCGCTGGTCATGACTGATTTTGAGTTCCTGTCAAGAGAGCCCAGCTCACGGCAAGGGCTGTTATTATGCATGTCCTTCCATGGCATCGACTAACGTGGCGTGTACCCTCTGTTGGGGCACAGCTATGTACAAACTACCCCTCCCCAACAAAACACAGCTTGAGCCGGAGGCTTGCTGGGGAGGTCTGCGATGTTGGAGGCTGATGGCACGCGCTCTATCCAAGTGACAAGGTGGTCCCTGCACTCGCTGGCATAAAAAGCGTGAGCCAGCGCCAGCAGCGATCTCACGGGACTGCTACCGCGGATCATGCAATATCGCGCGGACTCGTTGTCAACGAAGAAGAAGGCCCTACGGCCCTTTGCGAAGGTTGCTGCATAATCCCTTGCAATCACCATTGCAAACGCTTCGGCCTGAGCGATAATCTGATCCTCTGTGTCTTGGTGCCACAGCTCGATCAGAGAAGAGGGGATTCGACCACCGGCAACTTCGCGCCTACCCGAATCGGGATCGAGAACCACTAAACCCCAACTAGCAACCCCTTGCTCATAGGCGGCGTCAGTGAAAATCACAAGTGGCCTTGCGCCTCCTTTCAAGCACATCGTCTTTGGCGTAAGAGCCTCGAGACAGCACTTAAGGTAAGCTCCCAGTTGCTTGACTTCGTCTCGCGTCCAGGCTCGGTTGGAGTAGACGAGGTTCGAAAGTGCTCGGCAAACAAGCTTGAGTGACCTACCTGACGCAAAACCCACCATGAAGTTAAGCTGACCCTGCAAAGACATGGCCTCCGCTCGCGGGAGCTCGCCACTTGCACACATCTGCTGAGCGACTAGCAGAAGCTTCGCAACTCTTGACGGTTTGTTTTCCAGAGCGATGCTGCCAAGATGAAGAGAGTCAAGCGAGAGCTGGACTCCCAACAAGTTGAACTGGCTTGCGAACGGCCTGTCCTTTTCGCTGTCGCGACTGTATCGCCACCCGAGAGTGTCAAGCAGCGATTCGATCGAAACAGTGCACAGCCTGGCGGTCAGGGCAGGTTCGACCAAAGGAAAATCATCATAAAATACGCCTCCTATGATACCACAAAGAGTGGTTGCAAGGTGATGTAAGCTACGACTTATTCGATTAAAGCTGTACACAGCTGCGCACGCGCCGAATGGCAGGGAGTTACTCACGAAAAAGCGAAAAGCATTCGTGAGCGGCTCGCAGACGAGGAGTACCGCCAGCCTAAGGCTCTGTAAAGCCAGCGGTACCTGCTTATAAGCTTTTTCCAAGTCGATGCACCTCCCAACCCATGCGCAGCCCCGCCCAAAATCCGGGCTAAGCTTTCCTCGAAGTTGTTCGCCGCTTCTGAGGAGCACCGCAACTACTCCTTTCTCGTCCACAGCATTGCAAATGAATCGGCACAAGGTTATGAAGAAGTCGACGTCGTGCAGACGCAGGAGATCAAGGGAATGAAAGGCTGCGTTGATGCCACTTTCTCGAAAATCATCGATGGGCCTGAGCTTCGGATTCTCAGCACTACCCTGGACAACAAGGAATCTTCGGGTGCAGCAGACAGCTTCTTCGCCAAGCGCTGCACGAACTTGCTCCTCCGACTGGAACGGCCCCTTCAAGAAACCTTTCTCAACCTCCTGCAGAGTGCACTCCCAAAGCTTGCTCGTAAGATCGCCCGAGTCGCCAACATCCGGCGACCTCTGAAGTGCGTGATTACGCCAAACAGATGAGTCCAGGAGATCTTGTACGGAAGAGGTCGCAGGGACCTCCTTCCACTCGAAAAGCGGCGATTTGGTCGGTTTGCCGACAAGGTCGACACCTTCCATGAGCTCACCGACCGAAACATCTGGGAATCCAGTTTCTTGCAGCAGCTTTCTCCACAACAGTATGCGTTTGCCTTTCAAGACCTCTTGAGCATGCTGTGGCAATGAAGCGTGGAACCTCGCCTCCTCCACTGAGAGCTCCTTAGCCATCTGATTCACCTTCTTAGTGGCATTGATGCGCTTCTGAGCGACAGACGAGAGGCCTTCGGTAAGGAGATCGAAAATGTTCCTTCTAGCGCTGTCGTCAATCGCCGCTGCGTCGTCGAAGGGGTGATCGAGCTTAAGGGCCTTATGGGTGAACTCCTGCTTTGTGTGAAAGATGCCGAAGGTTGAGCAGCTTCCGTTGCTGCCCCCGTCACGCACAAGCTCGCGAAACTCACCCTGGGCAGGCCTAGAACTCCGAAACTCCTTAAACTCGGGGATTAACTGCGGTGCACGGCGAGACTGCCGCACCGAGGGCCTAGGCAAGGGCGCGGGACAAGAGGGTAGGGAACTTCTAGCAAGGCGACAGAACGTATCACACAACTGGGGAGGATACTCGGCCTCCGAGGCAGTAGCAAAGCTCCAACGGCCGGCTGCACGAGCTACTGCAAAGGGCAAATGCTTATGCTTTCTGTCGCACTCACAAGCCAGTGGGCACAAGGCCTGCATCGAAGTAAGCAGTCGTGAAACCTTATCCCTAGAACCTCCGAGCATGCATTGTGCATAGTCGACGGCATGAAGGTCGTTGAAGAACGAGGCCACGGTCGGGGACCTGAGCTGGCGAGTGAAGTGGGCCAGCACAGCCCACATCCAGCTCCTGACCGGATTCTCTATAGAAACATGCCAGCCTTTGTCCTGGCACAATGCAAGCAGCTTAACTGTAAACTCGGCTAGAAGATTAGCTGAAGTCACGCGTGCCTCGTCGCTGGGGCAGAGATCTGGCAGGCCAAGCACGTGCTGACTGGAACGCAACGGCTGTGGTTGAGGCGCACCAGCCGCCAGGAGGTGTGCAGGCAAGGGACGCTCCCGGGCAGTGCCGCAAGGCAGCGCAATGTGCACCAGGAACACGGGGGAACGCAGTAGCCGCTGAACAAGTGCTTCTTGACAATGCCGGACGGTCAGGTCGAGCGTCCACACCTGATGCAGAGGCGAATGCTTGTTGCGCGGCCCGTCGATTGCGAGCACCTGAAAACCGGCGGCTGCAAAGGTAGAAGACAGTCTGGCACTCCCCGCGAAAACCTCGACGAACAAATGAGTCGGCTGACTCGCACTGGCCCCAGATGCAGGGGGGGCGGGTGGAAAAGCAGGCTTGGCCCCGGCGGCCGAAGCATCGAAGAGTAGCTTGCCAGACTGTGCAGGCGAGACTGAAGGCTCGCTGGGATTACAGGGCAAAGGTGAAGGCAGCGGCAACTGTGGGGGGGGCGGCAAAATGCCGACTGTTGGTGGCACTGGCTTGGCGCTAGGAGCGGCGTTGAGCGGGGTCTCCTGATCCGGCGCCCAGTCGAAATCGGATTGCAAGTGCAGATTGGTAAAGCCTGAAACGGGCAGCCTGAAACCGAGGTTGCACAGGAATCTGCGATCCTTGGCAGGCAAGTCGCAGACACCACGAGTGCTGAAGGCAACCAAGACGATGCAGCGGCCGCTCCACTGGCACACGTCATGATCGTATGATCTGGCATCGAAGTAAACTGGGCCTCCCTCGAAGGAAAGGGTCTTCGGTGACGGCTCGTCAGCTGGAAAGCAGCGAACCTGGCCCCCTGAAAATTGCGTAAGCGGATAAACAAAATTAAGCGAATTCTGGAGGTTGTTGGCATCTCTGTGACGGCCCACGTGAAGTTGCTCGAAAATGGCGATGGTGCTGTACATAAACTCCGGGTGTGCTTCGGCATTGACAAACTCACACAGGGTCCTGGTGAACTCGGGATGCAAACGGCTATTTGCCCTCAACCCGACTAAGGACCCTCTAACGAAAGAGCCTGTTGTGAAGCAGCGGCCCTCGGCGGCCTGCTTGCCCTCTGGGAGCGGGTCACCTGGGACAGTTCGGAAAATTGAAAGAATCCTCTCCACGGCATCATGATGCCTGCAAGCCGAAGAAGCGGAAGAGTCTGAAGCCCCGAATGGAACAAGGGGGTCGCAGAAATCCCCCGTTTGCAACGGTGAGCCCTCGCACTCGGCTGGCAGCGTCACTCGCGAGGGCGGTGAAGCCAGAATTAATCAGGCGCCGCCCTTAGTGCAAGCGGTGTAAGAGTGAGGCTTGAAGCACTTCCAGCAGATGTGTTTGCCACGGCGGCAACGCTTGCCATCCTTAGCAAATTTGCACCCATCCTTGTTATACGGGAAACAAATCGGGACACCTTCCGGATCCTTGCTGGAACAGCCATCGGGCAGCACAAAGGCAGGAGGGGGCTGCGGCACTTCTGAACCCTGATTCTGCTTGCCGCCGGTCTTGCCCTTGCCATCCTTGCCTTTGCCTGTTTTACCCTTCTTACCCTTGCCTTTACCGCCCGGAACCCAGGTTTCGTAAGGCTCAACCCTGTACGGAGTGGCAGGGCTCGCGGCTCCAGGAATCACACAGAACTGCACCTGGGGGTGGGACTTAAGGGCAAGAATCTGCAGCTCCATCGGCTTGGATCCGTCCGGCCGAACGCTAAGGGCACCTCTGGTTTCCTCTGCAATTTTGAGAAAAAGGACCTTGTCAGCCTCCTTGACCTGGCCCATGGTGATGCACATGCGGCCCGGCACTGGCGGGCGTGAGAGAAGCGCAAACATCTCTTCATGGTAGGCTTCCATCACTGAATAAGTGCAGAGTTGCGCCAGATCGTAACACAAGGACCTGCGCTGGAGAGCTTGACGCACCTGCAATTCGCCTGTCAAGAACACTGGGCATCCTGGAACTTTTTGTTCAAGCGCAGATTTCCACTGTTGTCAAAGCTGATGGATAAGTCAGACTTGCTCGAAACGATCTCCTGTGCCCTGCTTGTGTATTTTTCCCAAGGCAGCCAGATGAGCTGTTGGTCGGTTCCTTGCTGAAACACCAGATCTGTGACGCGATAGCTTGGCTCACTGTCGCTGGAGAAGTGAACCCCGTTGAGGCGCTTGCGTTGCTCCTCGATTCGCGTAGTCCTCTCAGCGACTGCCAAGCGGATCGGTTCTGCTGAGTCGCTCCTTTCCACCTTCTGTTTGAGCTCTCCCATTGCTGTGGTAGAGGCCTCATACCACAGACGCCTCGTCACGAAAAGCTCCTTCTGTGTGAGATCACGCTTGACGACTGTCTTGAGTGCGTCGATGAGAGGCTTCTCATCCGAGTGGCCCACCTGGAAGGGTGAGATGAAGGCTAGCGTGCCCATCGTTGTGACTCCTCCGTCTTCCAGCAGTTTGAGAAAGTCAGCAGGTAAACCTATCTCAAGTGCACGTGCATGAAATGCGGCAGCGGAGTCCAAGGTGGAATTCATGGCACCTAAGAGGGCTTGAGGCCAAAGTTGCGTCACTCATGAAGAAACTTCTCTGGCAGGCACTCTCACTCAGGACGGATGCGGAAAACACTGCGCAGCCTGAAGGCTCGACGGCAGCACACTGTTGAGTACGGAACCCGGGCACAGCCGAAGCTCAACGGCCCATTCTCAAGACGACAACCTCCTCAGGGAAGACAAGTACAACTGGAATGAAGCGGAAAACACGGCGTAGCCAGACGGCTCAACGGCAGTACACTGTTGTAGTACCAAACCCGGGCACAGCCGAAGCTCAACGGCCCATTCTCAAGTCGACAACCTGCTCAGGGAAGACAAGTACAACTCCCAGGAAGCGGAAAACACTCCCAGCCAGAAGGCTCAACGGCAGTACACTGTTGAAGTACCAACCCCGGGCACAGCCGAAGCTCAACGGCCCATTCTCAAGTCGACAACCCCGCCGGAAGACAACACACCGGTGAAGGAAACACTGCTCAGCCGTGTGGCTCAACGGCAGCTTGAAACGACCCCTTGAACCCAGGGCTCAGCCGCAGCTCAACGGCCCCATCTCGAGTCGATCGACAGCAACCCTGTAGGGGTAGAGGCGCAGCTGTAGCTCAACGACCTTACCCTGAAAGCGGGAAGCTCGGGCAATATTTCACGCCGCAACGGAAGCCTTAGCGCACTGTCCACATACAGGCAGGTCGCTCAAAGGGACATCTGGGTCGAGCCTGCTATAATTTGCCGAATCGTTGCGGCCACACAAAAATCGGGCCCCGCTCAAAATGTGCACGACCCTGGAATGGACATGCATCTTACAGTCCTTGGCGGCATCGAGCTCAGCCGCCGTCATGGTCCTGCCCAAAGTCAAACCTGACGCTGCCCCCTGAAGATCGGCTTCGGCTATGTCCTCATCTTCAGCTTCAGATTCCAACATATCTGGAGCATCAGCACAAACGCGCTCGAGGAGGGCCTCAGAACCATCCGAGTTCCTGATGAGCTGAGCCAGGCGCCACACCCTGGACTCGTCAGGCTTGAGAGCTCCCTTCCGAATGAGCACGATCAAGTCGTGCACAACCTTCATGAGGCGAGTGAGCTCGTCACGAGCATAAGTCAAGGGGGACATCACAGCAGGATCCACGTGATGCCCTAAGAGGCGGCGGTCAGACAGTGGAACTATCGTGCTTTTAGCTGCCCATGATAGGACTGTGCACTTCAAGCTGTGCGTGCCAATCCCTTCGATGCCTTGACTAGCGGCTGTGAGAAACTCTTTAAGGTAGCAGCCTGCCTCCCCTGTGCTCATCGGTCTGTCCAGCCAACAGTTAGCGCTCTCAGACCATGCAGGGAGAGCCGGATGCAAACCCAGAGAACATTCCTCTCTTGCCTTCATCCACAAGTCAGCCCAGTTGCTGTCTGCAAAGAATTTACCAAGCGAACACATGGGTAACAGCTGAGACTTGCGCGATGCTACGGGTGCGGTCTTCCAGTGGGAGCTCTCGGCTTCAACCAAGCAAAGGCCCTGATGGAACGAAACAACAAGGCTTCCTAACCAAAGCGAGTCGCCGAACCGGGCACTGGCACCGAGGCAAAACAACAGGTGCCCCGCAATGACTTTCCAATGGCTGTACGGCGCATGAATCACCACGTACTCTAAAGCCTTGACCTGTTTCACAGTCAAAGGGATCGCCTGCTGCAAACGACGTTTGCCTTGGTACATCTTGAGCGCCAAACCCTTCACGCGAGAAGAAACGGCCCGCAGCGCCGCCTGATCCTTAAATTGCAAGGTGATGCGAAATTCCAGGCCTGGAGAAAAGAAGACCCTGAGGTAGGTCGCGCATGTGCCTCGAGTTCCTGCAAGTACTGATACAGGATTCTCTCTCCGGCAGTGAAAGGATTGCCATACCCTGAATCAAGGGTCCACTTGGCGAAAGCCCACAAAGCAGAGGCTCTCTTCACGAGGGTGGAAGTAGCTTTCCCACTGAAAACATCACTGAACGTTCTTGCAATCTGTTGGTCTTCCTTGAGCAAGGAAGCTTCAGCCAGAAGAATGCATCCTAGCTCGGTGACGCCAGGCTCGAGCATGACGAGAACCCTGAACTTACGGAGAGCCTCCCACCTGGCAGAGTCCGAGGTCTTCATCATGGCAACAATTTGAAGACGCTTCTTTGCAAAGTCAGGCACCTGCTTCAGCGCAGGTACAGCACTCGGGGCGCAGGATTGCCGTGCGGGTTCATGATCATAGGGCATCGGAATGCAGGGACGCTTGCTAGGCTGACCAAAAACCCAGGCAAAAGGCCCCCTCTCCCAAGGAAGGAGAATCACAGAAGTCCTGTTATCCTTAAGCATTTCGTTCCAAGAGAAATTCCTGATGAGTACAGCTCTTGCATCCAAAGCCGGGAAGTCATCTTCGGCTTTAGCCAGCCTGCTGAAGAAGGTGTCAGGAGTTTGCAAAAACGATGCAGTCTGGTCCTGAGAGGCGGCGGCACCTGAAGATCCGGCTGGACCTCCCAGACTCCCTTGCGAAGAAGAGGCCAAGGCCGGATTGCCTGTTGTAACCATCTAGTCTGGCAAGCCAACCTACGGCAACACAAGCGAAGTGCCAAAACTTGCTTCAAGCAGACTGCTCGCGCGGTTCAAGAAATGCTCTGAATGCTGCTCGCAGGCCCTGAATGATCCCCTCGAGCCACGAGAGGCGTTGGTGGTGGCCCGTCTGGTTCACCCAGACACGCGCCAAGGACTCCTCCAAAGTTTGCAAGTCGGACCTGAGGGCTTGAACTTGAAGCCTCAGGGCGTTGACCTCCAATTGGAGATCGTAGATATGCTGACTGTGGAGCTCACGAGTGCTAGTAGAGCTGCCCTCGGAACGATGAGAAGACCCGTCAGCGAGTGCGTCGCCGAAGTCCATCCGTGGGCCCTTCGAGGGACCACTTGCACTGAGGGCTAGCCCCGAACGTCCACCGGTTGATTTCAGGCCTCTTGAGGTTGACACGGAGCCCAGAGCCTGGAAACCCAAAATTCTTTCTCTGTTGCAGCTGTCTTCGGAGCCACAACTGCTGATATGAACAGACATCAGAAGCTACCAACTCGCACAGCATGAAAGCTCGACGTGAGGCAAGTAACTTCAGTGTCTCACAACATATAAAATGTTCGACGTGAGAAAACAAAGTTCTTTGGCAGTTTTGCGTCGCTGTGTTAGCGACTATAAATCAAAGACAACATGATCACATTCGTGAAATAGTCTTCTTGAAGAGAGGCAGTGCACATCGAAGTTAGGAGGCCGGCGTAGCACTGGTTGCACCGCACACAGCCAGCGTTCGCCGCGTACAGAAACTTGTACTCCAGACGATTGCTTGCCACGAAGGACCTGGGCAGCCAGACCAATGCCCAGACCAGTGAAGCATCCAAATCCGGCAGCCTAGGGAAACCGCATGCAAGCTGCTTTCCAATGCAATTGCACTGCGGGTTAAGGTTCTTAGGGACCTAAACCCAACCGTGATGAGCGTGCGGCAGCATCTGTGCACCTGGGCCGCACTAGGGCGAGCACTAAAAACACCTTTCCGACGCCCCTTTAATTAAGATGCAGACCTTCCCGGCCTCGACAAATCCATCGCGACTGGGCGAGCCTTGTCTAAGCGCAAGCAACCTGAGCAGCGGCAATTAGCACGAGGTTTCAGATTTCAGACTCAACGACTTCACGTTGAACTACTTGGTTCGTGGCGCGTTCCCGCGCGTGGTACAAAAGGCATGTTCTCATCGACGGACGTGCAGAAAACATCGGCAGGGGCGGGTTTTGAGCATGTCGGTCAAGGCATGCCTATTTTAGGAGGGAGCCTATTTGCCTACTTGCTTGTATTGAAAACGGTCATGGACGTGCAGAAAACATCGGCAAGGGTGGGTTTTCAGCATTCCGGCCAACGCATGCCTATTTGAGGGGGGGGAGGCTATTTGACTACTTGCTCGCACTGAACTGGGCGATGCAAGTGCAGAATACATCGGCAGGGGTGGGTGTTCAAGAGATCAGGCTTTTTTTCCTACATTGGGGGGCAGGCTGTTTGAGTACTTGGTCGCAAGTAGTTGTTGCGGAAAGTGGCCTTTTACACTGCAGACACAGACCAAAAGGGCGCCAGCACAGGGCTAGGACATCGAGTGCCAACGCCGCGCAGCAAGAGTAGCGAGCTCACGGCCAATGCCAGCCACTGGCACATGCTCGGCGACCCTTCTGAGACCCTTCTTCGGGCCAGAGCGCAGGAGGCCGCAGCAGTAGTAGTCTGAACACAAAGCACTAAAGGGCAGCAGGCATCAGCAGTAGTAGAGCTAGTCTGAACACCAAGCACCGCAGGGCAGCAGGCATCAGCAGTAGTAGAGCTAGTCTGAACACCAAGCACCGCAGGGCAGCAGGCATCGGCAGTAGTACAGCTAGTCTGAACACAAAGCACTCAAGGGCAGCAGGCATCAGCAGTAGTAGAGCTAGTCTGAACATAAAGCACTCAAGGGCAGCAGGCATCAGCAGTAGTAGAGCTAGTCTGAACATAAAGCACTCAAGGGCAGCAGGCATCAGCAGTAGTAGAGCTAGTCTGAACACAAAGCACCGCAGGGCAGCAGGCATCAGCAGTAGTAGAGCTAGTCTGAACATAAAGCACCGCAGGGCAGCAGGCAGCAGCAGTAGTAGAGCTAGTCTGAACACAAAGCACTAAAGGGCAGCAGGCATCAGCAGTAGTGGAATTGCTAAGAGTAGAACAGGTTCGTCATTAACCCCCCCCCCCACCCCCCCCCCACCCCCCGAAGCCGCAAAACATGCAAAAACCTGCGAAAACTACACGCGCGTGTACGCGCCACACTCCAACTACTTATAAACAACAGCAGGCAACAGCCAGCGAACCTTTTCCTCGTGGCGGCGGCGGCGGCCGCGTTGTCCAAGCTCGCTCATTCGCAAGACGGCGTCCGAGCGAGCAAGGAAACGAGACAGAAACGGTCGACATCTCATTCGTCCAAGCTCGCTCATTCGCAAGACAGCGTCCGAGCAAGGAAGGAAACGAGACGGAAACCGTCGACATCTTCATTTGCTCAGCATCCGCGTGTACCGCCATCGGCTGATTAAACGACGCAAGAACTTGCGCTCAGCTGCGTCCTTGAAATCCGCGGCCCGAGCACGAAGCACGATGTCGCAAACAGGCGCCTTTGTAAGCAGTCTGGTATAGCTGCTTCCCTGCCTGACGCCGAGACACGCAGCCATCCTCGCCGAAAGACCTTTGCGCAACTGCACCTTGTCGAAGTTCGCTGCGTGCACACGCATGAAAATCGCAGAGGGCCGATCGAAGACATCGACGTAGAACTCCGGCACTCGCAACCGCCAAGTGCACCGGACCGTCGCGGCCACCGCAGAAGCCCAGCTCCGGGACACGGCGGTGATCGCCTGTCGTTGTCGCACTCCCACCTGCTCCAGCTGGATCATGACCACGTCCCCTCCGACCCTGGCTGTCACACTCGGAATGAACGGCCGCCACTGTTCCGCGCGGTTGAGAATCGTTTGCTGGCAGACGCCATCTCGACGACAAACAAAGTAACCCTGCACATCGCGATGCGTGGTCTGGACGACCTGTCCGAGATTCCCAACCTGCACACTCACGCGAACCCACAATGCATGGCACAGCAGTTTCTCCAGCAACGGCGCCGGCAAGCAAGAAGCCTTCACCATGGCTGGTTCTGCCGCCGTATCACCAGCTTTTCTTGAACCAGACTGCACAAGCACCACGTGCATAATCCAGTGCATAGAGTCAAGTGCATCACAGAAGGAAAGGGGTCCCGGAAGCATGCGAACATGGCTCGACGACCGGGATTCGCAAAGACCGCAAAGGCCGCATCCTCACAGAGCAGAGAGAGAAAGACAGAGAAGGAGAGAAAGAGACATGAGAGAGAGAGAGAGAGAGAGAGAGAGAGAGAGAGAGAGAGAGGGAGGGAGAGAGAGAGAGAGAGAGAGAGAGAGAGAGAGAGAGAGAGAGAGAGAGAGAGAGAGAAAAAGAGAGAGAGAGAGAGAGATGCGGCTCTTTGTTTGCGGAGCAGCTTCAAGTAACAAGCTTCCTCCTGCGGCGACGATCGTTTTGCTCGATCGTTCGCAAGACAGCGTCGGAGCAAGCAAAACGCATCTTCGAGCAGCAAGCAATAAGGATGCAAGATCAGGAGCGCAGAAACATCCACGCAGACGAGTGTCTAATTATCTAATTAAAGAAGAAGCCTTGAATTATGGCTCGCTCACAAGTCAGGCTCGGCCCCTTCATTTTCGGCCAGGGCATCCAGAAAGGAGATCCATTCCCGGACACTCTGTCGAAGCTCGCGAAACTTCTTTTCCCAAACTCGTTTGCTTTCGTAGAGAAAGGATTCTGGCTCCGGAAGCGGGTCCAGGGGGATTTCTTCTGCAGGCATCATTGAGAGGTAGAAGTCGATAGCCCGGAAAGCAGGTGATCTGCTGATCGATTCGAGAACTCTGCGTCTCTTGCAGTGTCGTTTCATTTCGTTCTCCACACTCAGGGTTCCATCGTTGTTGTTGGATTCCTCCGAGACTTGTTCGCTATCGGAATAGCCGCAAGCTGCACAACTTTCGTTGTCTTGCACGGATCTTACCTCCTCCAGCCGCCGCGGAGTGAACTGTTCCTTGTCCTTCGGCATTCTCCAGGCAGTAAGTAGTATGCCATGATGCCTGCAGTTTCGAAGCAAATCGAAATCAGTGCTAGAAATCGTCAAGCCGTGCCTACATACCAACAACTGATGACGACGACGAGCAGCCCGGACTGCCGTGCTACGGCCGAAGAATTGATTGCGGCTTGGCCTGGCTAGCGAGCCGAGACCTTGCGAGTGCGGCGCAGCAACTCACCGCTCAGGAATGTGCCTTTCACTGAAGCAAATGGGCAAGCCCGCACGGCCGAGTTGGGTGTGAGAAGGCGCTACAGCACGAAGCTCCGAAACGCTATGTTTTTACACTCACGGCTTAAAGCAATGCACACGTCAGCGGTCCGCGTCAGCTTCCATCAGCATGAGGTCGGCCAGGCGACCGCAGTGAATCGCTTTGGACGTCAGCTGGGAAGGCTCAGGATGGCTGCGGAGCGCGAACAGTGAAGTGCTGCCGGGCAGGGACATGGTTACTTCTCCCCTGATGTGGGCTCGCACACGGGGGCCCCAGTCCGCGAAGACGATGTTCAGGAAGATGTAGCGGCCTTCGGCAGGGAACTCCTCCAGCTGACGTCGAGCGATTTGTTTTACGCTTAAGCATCGCTTCAAGGCGAGCTTGGCTGCGCCTCCGAGCGTACTGTCGTCCAGCCCATCAGTCGCTGTCTCCATTGGCTGCATCAGAGAGCGCAAGGAGGCAGAGTCACACGGCAAGATCACGTCCACGTCCTCCAGCTCCACGACGCTCGCCATGATGCCGTTGTAGGACCGGCCATCCCTCGGAACGCACACTCGGACTCGTACTCGCCGACGTGTGCGAAGCACGCTGACCACGGTGCCTTCGTGGGCAAGGTCAGCAACGAAGCGATGATCGACGACTTGCTCGGTTCCGATGCAGTACTGCAGATCATCCGTGCCGTCGGGGTTGAGCAGGGCATCCAAGTGCACTTTCCAGCTGGCGTGCAATGGGATGCTGTGTGAGCTGCTGTTGCCGGACAGCCCAACCACGTGGAAAAAGATGTCGTCACGTGTTTCCATGGCTAACGCCATGGCACCGGTGAACTTCTAGGGAGGCACCGAGCTTTCGCAAGACAGCGTCGACTCGGTAATGAATGAAGTTCTAGGGAGGCACCGAGCTTTCGCAAGACAGCGTCGACTCGGCAATCAAAAGGGTATGAACAGCAATGCAGCCAAAGCTTCGTCGCAGAGCGGCACGGGTTTTCGCTATTGATGTAACCAAGTACACAGAGACCCCTTTTCCCGGGCACCTGGCGCCATGGCAATGACGCGACTCGGCAAAGGCCTGGGCAGCCAGACCAATGCCCAAACCACCAAGAATCCAAATCCGAACATGAAGGCCCGACTCACGAATCGAGGGTCGGGTTAGTGTGTGGAAGCTTGACAGGCTTACCATCTACAAAAGAGCATGATGTTGGGTGTATTTGATGGGGTGCAACCTACCCGGGACCTATGTTCTGCTCGTCGACTATATGGTCTATGAACATACATACAGACCGAGCAGGCGAACACCGATCATCATGGTTCCGACACTTCGAGGGCAAGGGCAACTCGCATTCATCGGAGGGCTTTCGCATTAGCTCAAAGTACGGAAGGTATAGACCAGAGCATGATGCGGGGTTTATTCACTGGAGTGCAACTTACCGCGACACCGAGGGTTTGGCTAGGACCTACATTCTGCTCGGACAGCGATCATCATGGCTTCGATACTTGGAGGGCGAGGACAACTTACATTCATGGGAGGGCTTTGGAATCAGGTCAAAGTACGGAGCCAGCAGTAGCTGCAAATCCTGGCTTGGAACCTCCAGAGGCGTCATGGTCACGAGAGTCGAGAAAGGACTCGGATGGAAGAACGAGCACGCAGGCAAACGGCAGCCTAGGGAAACCACGTGTGATTTGTTTTCACATGCGATTCCACTGCGGGTTAAGGTTCTTAGGGAGCTAAACCCAACTGCGATGAGGGTGCGGCAGCATCTGTGCACCTGGGCCGCACGAGGACCAGCGCCAAAAACGTGTTTGCGAACCCCCTCTATAATTAAGACGCAGCACTAGTAGGGAGCAGTGATTCCAGCAGCAATGCAATGAAGCAACAAAGGGAGGAAGAGGAAGAACAGGCCTTGAGCTTCAGGTCGAAAGAATTGGCCCGTGGGGCGCCGGTCGTTGCGTCTTGCGCCTCGATTGGCCCGCGTGGTGCGCCGGTCGTTGCGTCTCGTGCGCCTCGGCGGATGTCGCGTCGTACCAGTCAAGATCGGCATCGTCGTAGAAGAAGCGCCGTGGAAGAAATGCTGAAGACGGCCCTTCAAGGTCAAGTCAACGTCCCATGGCCAGATCTCCACATCTTCGCTGACATCAGGTCGCGCATGCTCCGCCGCATGGCCTTTGCAAGCTGACTCGAAGTCGTGGATAGGATAGGTCTTGTCTTGGGTCTTCGAAGTAGTCACGACTGCACTGGGTCGGGGGCCTTTTAACCAAGTCTAGTCACTCATAGTTGCGGGGGTTTTACTTCCCAATCGCTTTGTCTGGTAGGGTAAATGAGTCTGAACACCCGTCCGAATTAAAGGCCTCACTTAGGTAACTTATAGTCCGGTCAGTCTTACCAGCCACTATAAGCTGCGTTGATTCTTGCAAAGCCTTGCTTGCTGCGTCTGCAGGGATTCTCTGCACGGGCCCAATAGATTCGCTTATAGACATAGAAGACCGCCAAAATGATCGAATCCAGAACAGAAGTATCCCAACCACATCCCCAGAAGTCCCTACTCCTTAGGGTCTGGCGGATGATGTTGATGAGGTACACACGTCCGAGCGAATGAGCAAGCTTGCTGTAACAGCTGGCGGCAGCCTGAGTCAAGATTTAAGTTCCCCCGGATTTACAGTCCGGGCCGCCGGGCCTCGATGGCACGGAATGCTCAGGATTGCTTTGCCGCCCACTAGAGAGAGAGAGAGAGAGAGAGAGAGAGAGAGAGAGAGAGAGAGAGAGAGAGAGAGAGAGAGAGAGAGAGAGAGAGAGAGAGAGAGAGAGAGAGAGAGAGAGAGAGAGAGAGAGAGAGAGAGAGAGAGAGAGAGAGAGAAGAGAGAGAGAGAGAGAGAGAGAGAGAGAGAGAGAGAGAGAGAGAGAGAGAGAGAGAGAGAGAGAGAGAGAGAGAGAGAGAGAGAGAGAGAGAGAGCAAACGAAATCGCGTCATTTTACCTTCCCGGGGCTTTCTATGTCTCACGAGGCCCGGAAATGTCACGGCACCCATGCAACCGAACTTTCGCAAGACAGCGTCGATTCGGCTGCACGCGGTGAGCAAGTTCGCGTGCTTCCCCGGGGCTTTGTGTGTAGTACGACGCGCGGAAATGTCACGGCACCCGTGCAACCGAACTTTCGCAAGACAGCGTCGATTCGGCTGCACGGTGAGCAACTTCGCCTACTATGCATCAGAGCCCCAGACGCCGTAAGAAGTCCTCCGTCTGCTGATCGGGGTCTTCCGCCCATCCGCGAGCGTTCTTCTCCGAAGAGGAGCAGTGCACATCGAAGTTAGGGAGGCTGGCATAGTACTGCATGCACTGCACACAGCCAGCGCTGGCCGCATATAGAAATTTGTACTCCAGTTGACGAGCTTCATCCAGATGTGCATGCCTTTTTTGCCATTTCGGGCAATGAGGCTGCTTTTCACAAAGTGTGTAATCCACCGATGTATCACTACTCTCACTAGACATGCTGCTTGACGACGAGGTATCGCACGGAACTTCGCCTGTCTCTGCGGCCGTAGGGCTTGGCGACCTCGGAGCGGAGGAAGGGCCAGTGCCTCCGGCCGCAGTGCTGGGTGTCCGCGAAGGGGCACTTGCCCATGTAACACCGGAGCCCGGTGTCCGTGAAGCAGAACTAGGACCACAGCCTTCGTTCGCAACGTCGGGCGGCGACGGGGGTGGCGGAGGGACATTTCTTGCCCAATGAACTCGAAACGTCTGAGAGGGAATGGAAGCGCCAGCAGCAGCACAGCCTCCGCCGGCGGTGTTGGGTTGCCGCGGAGGGGCTTTAGGCCAAACCTGCCGCGGAGAGGCACTTGGCCATGCTGAAAACGGTTTTTGCCGAGTCTCGCACCATCGCTCAAACCTTTCCATCTCAGTGTCGAGCCATGTCTGGAACCCTGCATCCGCGGCTTCCTTCCGACGAACGTCTCTCCGTACCATGCGATACTTGTTCCTCACAGTGTCCACGTCTATCCATTTAGCACTGTCAGCATCGAGTCGCAATTTTGTTAAAAAATCACCGAAATCAGCCATCGAGCAACTGAGCTTTCGCAAGACGGCGTCGACTCAGCGATTCCCCGGGAAAGTATGAACGTCGACGGAGCCAAAAGCTTCGTTGAACAACCATCATGTCGCAGGATGCAATTTTCCATGTGCAAAGACTGTGTGCTTGAATAGGGCTCGGGCACCAAAGCATAGATGGACGTTGCCGTAGAGCGCGAGCAATCACCTGATGCAAGGCGGCTGCCTAGAGGCATTGCAACAACTCCAAGCAATGATGCTGAACAAAGCAAGCGAAGCAACGGGTCTCCCTTTCCGGATCCGCCGGGGAGGTACGAACGCACCGGCCCTCCGCTCCCAGCGGGCGCATTAGCGCATCGCTCCGCTGTCATACCCCTCGGGCTTTGGGGGCGTTGGCCTCAAGGGTGGCCGCCACGAGTGGCCACTCAAGCATCAGTGGCGAAGCATGTAGCTCCGGGATTGGATCACTGCCCCCACCAACGACCCAACTTGGTGGAACCCGGCAGGTCTCTAGCGCCCCCTCGGCTATGCTACTCGATTTGGCCTCCCATGTTGCAGAAGAAGACACTCGGGTGCCGAGCTCGGACCCAGCCAGCACGATAGCCCATGTGCCTGTCATCACCAGGTGTCCGGTCTGGTGGTTGGCCCCAAGTCCTCGTCGGTTCCGTCTTTCGCGGTCCCCCAAAGCGACCCCATGCCCGGCCATCGGCATGCAAGCGCGGCTGGTGAAT